AATGTTGTCAACGACTTCAACTTCTGGTCCAGCAGTACCTCTTACGGCATCTTGTGAACCAATACTCATCGCTGTTGGCATGAAACTACTTTGTTGAAAAGGAATGCCAAAGGAGTTTGGGATATTATATTGGGATGCCATTGACCACATATACTGAGATTGTTGTTCAGGGGCTTGGTTGGAAAAAGAAGGCATCGGTTGATATGAAAAATTTTGGAATTGGGGTTGCAACTGCATTATGGGAAATTGACTAAGCGCGAGAGGTATGTTTCGACTATAGCGAGAATTTACAGAAGACGGGCTATCGTCTTCAGAAGAATTAGGCATATTAAAATTAGAAAAATTTGGGTTTCTGTCCATTGAAATACAAGAAAACAAAAAGTATTCTTTTGCTTGAGTTTTTCATCAACCGAATGTTCAATTATATAGACGTATTCAGCTATTCATTATTACTATACAATAATATCAAAATTTATCATGATAAGATAGATAAGACACGCACTTCAAAAAAATTTCAGCCTTTTGCATGGAAATGACTAACACTAATTCCCAAAAGTAAATATATACTATAAAAAATAAAAATAAATAATAAAATAAAAGGTTTATTAATTTTACAACATGTTTTGCGTCCAATTTTATATTTACAAATTGCAAATCAGGTTGGCCACTTATGTGTGTGTATATATATATATTGAACTATTATTATTATTATTATTATTATTATTATTATTATTATTATTATTATTATTATTATTATTATTATTATTATTATTATTTTTATTATTATTATTATGCAACCTCGAACTCGAGTTTCTCTAAATAAATGATCGGGACCTTGAAATAATAAATCGACGCCACAAACGGCTTCTCATCTTCTCGAGCTTTCTCGAAAACACTTCTCGTTGATGCTCGACTCGCTTATCGAGGCCCGACGGAACACCGGAAGTCGCCTCATTAAATAAGATAATATATAGCGAAAAATTCGCTCATTTTGCTACTATTCCCACGGGAATTCAAGCTTCTCTAGTTAAATGCTCGGAACTCCGAAATACTCGATAAATGTCTCGCATGACATCGTGCATGAATCATCTACACGTCTCAACTCAATTCTCGGTAAATCGAAGTCACACGGGACCTTGCGGGACCCACGTAAACAACTTTTTTCTTTATTTTACTAATATGCAACCTCGAACTCGAGCTTCTCTAAATAAGTGATCGGGACCTTGAAATAATAAAGTGACACCACAAACGGCTTCTCATCTTCTCGTGCTTTCTCGAAAGCACTTTTCGTTAATGCTCGTGTCGCTTATCGAGGCCCGACGGAACACCGGAAGTCGCCTCATTAAATAAGCTAATATATAGCGAGAAATTCGCTCATTTTGCTACTATTCCCACGGGAATTCAAGCTTCTCTAGTTAAATGCTCGGAACTCCGAAATACTCGATAAATGTCCCGTATGACACCGTGCCTGAATCATCTACACGTCCCAACTCGATTCTCGGTAAACCGAAGTCACACGCGACCTTTCGGTACCCACGTAAACGACTTTTGTGTTTATTTTACTAATATGCAACCTCGAACTCGAGCTTCTCTAAATAAATGATCGAGATCTCGAAATAATAAATTGACGCCACAAACGGCTTCTACACTTCTTGTGCCTTCACGAAAGCACTTTTCGTTAATGCTCGACTCACTTATTGATGCCTGACGGAACACCTGAAGTTGCCTCATTAAATAATAAAAAAAACTCAATTGGAAGGAATATTTAAAAAAAAGGAAAAAAACGTCATTAAATAAATTGTGGAGAACAAACAACCACAAAGTTGTTGTGGGGCAAACACTTTTTTCACCCTACGCGCCCGTGTATCATATTGACATATTTGATGAGTAATTGAACATCACGTCCTTTTATGCATTTGTACATACAATTTCTACATTATTTTGGAAATAGATTTGGAATTCCAAACCGATGTTAAAAATCCAAACCTCAAACCTTATATAAATAATAGAAAACCTATGAGGATCAAGTTTTCAAACCTTATGAAAACCTTTTATTAGAGCATCCACAATGCTTTGGGTCTCTTATTGCATATGTGGCAAATAAATCCATAATGACATGTGCAAACCCAAGCTAAAAAATCTAAAATCTATCCAATGCAAAACAAAAAAGTACTAGGTGTAGAATACTAAACAACCAATAATAATATAGTAATAATAAATGCATACAAAAAAATGTGTTTTGCCTATTAAAAAGAAAAGAAAATTGTGAACAATTAATGAATAGGTGAGTTTGCACTTGGGTCCAAAATAGACTCAAGTGTGGACTTAGTTTCTTTTTTCTAGTGCCAGATAAGTTAGACTAGGTCAACTTTTAATTGCATTGTGAAACTTTTTTTTATACACTAAGTCTATTTCATGTGATTTTTTTTCTAAGAGACCCAAAACATTATGGGCGCTCTTAGTTGCTCTTATAATCACCAAATTTGATTTTTTTACTTTACTTATTCCGTTCAAAGGTTAAAAAAATTGACCTCACTTTTCGTTACTTTTTATGTTCAAACTTCACATGCATGGGTCAATGAAAATATAGAAATTATTATATACAGTTTCAAAACTGGAATAGTCTGATTCCTCACTCCACGTCATTTTTATGTTGCTACTTCTGGACACCTGTTGTCTCTTGCAGCCTTACATATTACATGGTCTCAACACCACAAAATTTCCTCAAACGCACAAACACCACGCACTCTCCTTTCCCCTCACGTGCCACGCACACTCCACCAAGCCAACATCACTAAGCTGACGCGTCCACTGCCGCCACGTGTCCAACTATAAATTGCCCAACCTTTATCCATCGCCTTTTTTTTTTTTTATATGTT